GACCCCATGACACCGTATTCTAATGGGTTACTATTTGTTTGACTTAATGAACTTGCCATAAATCGAGAAAAAGGAATAAGAGAATGGGGTCAACTAATGCAAAGAGAATATACTCGAACTAATCAACATCGTCTCAATGATCTTACGATAAATTATCTTGGTTATTATACAGATAACGGTGCTTACTATTATTATAATACAGAAAAAGGAATAAATTACGAAGAAACTATGGTCAATGTTCGTCATCAAATTTCACTTCCATTTCATTATATACAACTTGATTCATGGTGGTATTATAAAGGTATTGGAGATGGTGTTTCACAGTGGACCGCTCGTCCAGATATTTTTCCTGATGGTCTTCAAACCGTGCATCGTCGACTAGAAAATATTCCTCTAGCAGCACATAATCGTTATTGGGCGTTTGATACTGTTTATAAACAAAATTATTCTTTTGTTCTCGATGAAAGCAATAAAAAGGCATTACCAATCGGAAATGACTCATTTTGGATTGATTTATTTAGTCAAGCACATGACTGGGGTCTTGTTCTCTATGAACAGGATTGGCTTGATCGTCAAACAATTGACTTTTTACCAACACGTACTGATATTGATCTTGGACATCAATGGTTAATGTCGATGGGTGAAGCAGGTGAAAAAATAGGAATGTACATACAATATTGTATGAGTTTACCTCGTCATGTTCTCACAGCTTTACAAATACCACGTGTTACTCATGCACGAACATCAACTGATTATGCGTTTCATCTTCATGGTAAAGCACAGCAATGGGCTATAGGCATATCAAGTATGTTTGCTGATGCTATGGGCTTGGCACCATTCAAAGATGTTTTCTGGTCTACTTCCTTTCAACCTGGTTCTCCTTATAAACCAGATGCAGAAGAAGTGCTTCCCGAACGAGAGATACTTATTGCTACTTTGTCCACAGGACCTGTCGGTCCGGGTGATGCCATTAATTATACTAATGTGCAACGTATCATGAAATGTTGTCGGGAAGATGGCTTGATTTTGAAGCCTGATCTACCGTTGACTATGATCAATAGATTAGCATCTGATTGGGCTTTTTATAACGGTGTCTCACAAGGTGAACTTTATTCAACAAGAACAACGATGTAAGTTTCTTGCTTTGTCTAAGCTTCTAATTAACTTTAGTATGTAGAAATGATCAAACATTCCATGTAATTTTTGCATCAGCTATGAAACAAGATTATTTAGTTTATCCGTCAATGATTGGTGCTCAATCGGGAGTTATCTGGTCATATGATAATTCAAGTGTAGTATCAACTTTTGATGATGCTAATCCACTGAATGTTTCAGCTAGTAAATGTCATGATTTATTCATATGTCTTTGGTATGTATCTCCTGTCATCAAATTGGAGGAGTCGACAAAATATGCTCTTCTTGGTGAATGGAATAAATGGACAGCTATTAGTCATCAACGAATTATATCAATAGACAATCAAATAATAAACCATATAGCAATTATAGATCTTCAAGGTGCACCTGGTGAAACTGTTTCAATCATTGTCTTTCATTTTACTTTACAATCTGTCACTGTAAACTGTCGAATGTCGACTGATATTGGTCGAGCTCGACTAATTGTCACAACATCGAGTGTCGTTTGTGCTTAAATAAAATAAGTGAACTAAAGATTTTAAATAATATTTTCATCGATTAAGAGTGTGGGTCCGGGTGTGAGTTTGAAGAAACTGTTATGGCCGGTTTCGTCCTTGCTTAAATGACTCATTCAGATGGCTTATCTATGATGAATTATTCTGCTAAAAGAAAGAGAAAATTCAAAACAAGATAAACCATTTGAATGAGCCTCTTAAGCAAGGACGAAACCGATCATGACAACTTCTTCACAATCACACCCACATCCTCACCCATGAAGTTTGTGGGTTTATTTTTGTGAGTCTTACTTCTTGCCTCATTATGCAAATGCGATTATTAAGTCAGAAAATTACCTGATTAGTACAGGAACTATTTTTCTATGAAGTTTAGTATGGTTGCTAAGTTTACGGGGAGTTAGTTCGGTAGTTTGCATGTCGATGTGTTCTGTCTAGTGTATACTGGACATTTTTCTAGACACAGGCACGTATAAAATGTAGTATATATGGGGACTATTAGAGATGTGGTGGGCAGAAAAAGGTTTTTATTTTCCTACATATCCTTTATTTCTTAAACCATTTATCCCTCTTGCAAGCTCTGAGTTTCCTCCAATGATACTGAATTTATGTCGCGTACGGTAGTACTTTGTCACTGGCACAAATTTTACTTTATAATTCATTGGCCCTATTATCTTTCATAATACCTAGTAATCTCTGGATATCCTGAAGTACCTATTCTAGTTCATGATTTATTGAGTATTATTTTCTAATTCATATATGTAATACAGTGCAATATGAATGACTCTCTTTTTCAGCATTGATCTGTGTTGTGATTTCTCTCGGTCGAAAACAAGAGTTTTGGGCTACCATTGAGGGAAGGCATGATTTTGCTTGTGATGGAATTAATATCCTTATTCATTTTTTTTCGATCGACTGAGGGTGTGGGTGGTTGGTTGTGGGTGTCGGTGTGTGGGTGTGAGTGTGGGTGTGGGTGTGTGGATGTAGGCGTTTCTCCTTCTATCTCACCCACACCCACACCCCGTCACACCTACACCCAAAATTTAGAATTAGAAATGAAACGTATCGAGAAGGCTCATAGACACGAATGTGGTTTTCGTCTTGAACCATTTACTACTGAAGTAGCCAGTAAATATTACACAGATTTTGAAATTCTCGATGTACCTGGTCTAGTTAGTGGTGATCTAGGTGTTAATAAACGAGCAGCCGTCGAACGTATTAGAGAACATTATGTACGTGATCCAAGTGTTATTATTGTACAACTCAAAGAAGCTCAACAATTAGCTGATAATACATATGGAGCAAGACGTATTGGTGAACTATGTACTAGTGAACCAGCTCTTCAAGGTTCGAAATTTCCTGCTCGGAAGGATTATGCTCAACATACAATTACCATTCAAACTAAATTCGATGCACTCATGCGTGAACATGATAAATGTACGGCAGCTAATGAAGATATTCGAACACGAGTTAATTTTTTTCCAAATACTTCTTTTTATCAATATGGTTGTTAGTCCGTAAGTATTATTTCTATCTTTGTTGTTGAAATTAAGAATAATTTGCTTCCGCACCATTTTCGTTTCATAAGCAAAGAGATACAAATTATCTGATCATTCATATGGAGAAAATGTTGAATATATTGCTCGATTACCAGAATTAGAAAAACAGGAAGTTGACGATTGGATCAATCATATGAATTTGAAGGCAGTAGGAAACGATTCCAAATATCAACTATTTAATCAAAACTATCATCCTTTGAGTGGAATCGATGTTGTACGAAAAAAAATTCAAGAATTATGGTTACGAGTTCGTATATGACAAAACACTTATTTATTTTTAATTAATTTTGTTCTTTTTTTATCATCTAGGCATTTCGTGCTGCTCTACCAGGATTACAAGACACAATCAATCGACTTATTCGAAAATATTCAGATGAATTTGAAACAGAATTATTTAATCTTGAACAACAAGATCCACGTACTGTACGTAATAATTATCAAAAGTATATTGAAGCATTTCGAGTAACTATTAGTGACTATGCAGCTTACCGAGCTGAAGTTAATGAGTTGTTTCCATTAGATGAATATGGGCGAACTTATCAAGAAATTGAAAATGAATATAATAATTGGAATCGTAAACAACTACTTACATGGTGTGCTTATTTGTCTGCTGAACAATTAAAACACAATTCAAATGGACAAATATTAGCTGCACTTGATTTACGTTATATTGGTGCTCGACATTTTGAACGTTTACGACAAGTAAGATAAAAAAAAATAGTCTCAATAATTTTACTTATTTTATATAAATTCATTATAATAATGTTTTATACAGCATGATCTAAGAGGTATTTTTAATTATAAGGATAAAAACGTAAACATTAGTTGTTTTTTCTAAAACAGACCTCATTGTGAGGAAACAAAGTAAAAGGACGATGAAAAGTTATGACCTATCATAGAGAGAGTAAAGCAATCTCCCTGGAACGTTAAAAGTTTCGTTTTTCTAGAATGTCTTGCCAGAAACCTGCTCTCCCCACCATCTAAAATAGACTTTCCGAATCAGTAAAACTAAATGCTATCAAATATGTATATACATACATCCATTACTTACAGGTGTATTTAGTAGTAAAACTTATCTCAATGAATCTTTGTTTGGATCCAAAGAATTCTTGAATAATTTATATTTAGTAAAGAATAATCGTATTTTGGCCTTAGTGTTTATAACTGCTGTTGACTACATAAAAATTTTGAGCGAGATAGCAAAACACTATTTCTCAATGGTAGAGTTCTTATATTATGAGCATGAATTTCAATTTCATTTCTGTTTTTTGTTTTCTTTTGTTATTATTATTATTATATCAGTTCCATATTTCAGTCTCATGTATAAGTATATGTATCAATTTTATCTTGAAAATAAGTATAAATATATTTCATCAAATGTTCAAATATACGATACTCTCTCTTTTTTCATCTTCATATTTAATCTAAATCCGTATGAAATATGAATATCTATCTATTTCTTTAATAAAGTGTGAAACTACAAAATTTCCTGGAATTAAATAATTTCTTATATACTTTATAAAGAATTAATCAACACAGTAGACGAATTGATAGATTATTAGAAGGTTCGTATTGTATCGCCTGTTATATACACCAAAAAAGCAGTTGTTGAAAATTTCCAACTGAAATTCTCCATGCGATTGCAGCAATGACTCTCTTCAAGTGTAAGGTAATGTTTTTTGTTTCGATCTAAAGAAAGGAAGAAGAAGAAAAAACAATAGTTGTTCTTTTATCAAAAATTCCATTAACTTCAAATGGATTCATTCAATAAGCAAAAAAAACAAAGAGGTAAGACAACAGAAACAGAATATTATATTCAAAACGTTTTCCAAGCAGTAGACATATTTTGATTTACTGAATTTACCAACTTCGACACAAAAATAGTTTGTATGTATGTGTCAGGGTCAAAAAAACATCCATTTAAAGTTCGTTATTATAAAGGTTGACGAAAGTAAATCGGGGTCGGGGAATCCGAATCTGACGTCAGATTTTCAAAATTTTGAAATGAGTTTTTAGGGTCAAGGGAAGGGTTTTTTAAGAAAATATCGATTTTTTATAAAGGTTGACGAAAGTAAATCGGGGTCGGAGAATCCGAATCTGAAGTCATATTCTCAAAATTTTGAAATGAGTTTTTAGGGTCAAGGAAAGGGTTTTTTGAGAAAATAACGATTTTTTATAAAGGTTGACGAAAGTAAATCGGGGTCGGAGAATCCGAATCTGAAGTCATATTCTCAAAATTTTGAAATGAGTTTTTAGGGTCAAGGAAAGGGTTTTTTGAGA